ATACTGCTTGCAACGATTTAGGTATCTACTGTCCCCTATCGCCAGGAAAAATACACTGTCACTTTTAAAGTCTCTACTTTATTTCCTGTTTTTATCCTTACTTTCATTTACTGCAAAAAATATTCAGATGTCTCCTCTTTTTCTTTGTTTAACAGTCTCTCAGTTTCTTACCTCACTTTCAGGGACACATACTGAATCAAGCATTTTTGGGTTGAAATCTGTTTGGCGATCACCTTAACCGGTGCTAAACACTGTTTAAATAACTTATTTAGAATAACAGATACGACTAAGAACATCTAGACAATGCCCAGGTCATTAGCACAAAACTGTTTATATATAAAACATCTAGGTCTTTCAGCGTGAGGAACAACTATTTGATAAATGACTGAAAAGACAAATCATTATTCAGAGTTGTGGCGGTTATTTTTCAGTCTGATGAAACAGTTAATTGTTTCATCATCAGACATATTTTTGGACTGCGACATGCTGCCATTTATATTTTCCTTGGTCCTTGTGCCAAGTACAAGCTTATTATGGAGGCTGTGAGCGTTTTGACAGAGAGGTTGCCACATGTGTTGCGTTTGACGCTCAAACTGTGATGGCGACAGTGTCACAATAACCTCAACCCCAGCATTTTTCTCAGCTCTGTTAGCTTCTATTAATTTCACAGCGTCAAACACATTTAAGCATCAGTGTTGTGAGTAGTTTCCAGAGGGGGAGGGAAACAGAAAAGTGACAGCCATACAACAACAAACATAATTTGTTCTGGGAAAAAAAAAATTGGACTTGACTGGTTGTTTCGTACCTGCTGTCAGCGGTAGCCTATAGGATCAAGATCAGTCCCAGAGGGCTCGAACGATCCAGCTTTATTACACCGGACTGAAACAATATTGTGATTTTAGCAGCTTGCGTGGATTTCTTGAGCCTTGTGCGCTCTGTGGCCACATTCATAAACATTTACCCAGATCAAAATTATGTTGGAAGAGTATTAACCCAAGCTCACAGCAGGGTGCCTTTAGGATCTTATCTGGGATAAGTCACTTCCCACACAAGGAGCATACAGTTTATGATTTAAATCGGCAGCACAGTGCTGGCAATCTACACTGGTGCACCATTTCTTTGACCTACAGGTTGTCCGCATCACAGCTGAGCTTCAGACGGCAGGTTTTGGCATAGTCAAAAATACGTAGGCGCCTCATTGGATGCTGGAGAGTGTAACAGCATTGCCGTCATATTGGATGGGTTCCTGACTCTCCAAACGCAGCTGGAGGCAACGTGTTGTGAGCACTTTTTGTAAGAGCCTACGGTTGCAACAACCGGCCTACTATTGAAAACAGATCACACGGGATTACTATTGAGTTTTGCTTCCTGTTGGGACTTTATATTTTAGTTTATTTCAATTTATCCATGCCATCCCAAATGCCTGATTTTGTGAAAAAGCATGGTAAAATGTATTTATTTTGTAGGGAAAACACCTCCCTCAGTAATAAATTAACTGGGTGTGAATAAAGACCCATCTAAGAAGGCAGCTGGCCACTACAGCAGCTCCACAGGCAGCGCCAGTCCATGGGGCGTCTATGAGTGTTATTTTCTGATATTTGGACTTCTCAACCTGGACTGAATAACAGCAACCATTGACTTGGACCTCTACAAATAAAACAAACCTGGAGAAGCTTCAGTTGTGTGGTGATGTTGCTAATGCTAACGGTTAGCATAAAGTAGCTGAGACATCATCTGATTCCTGGGCTTTAAAACAACAGCCGTCCCTACCGTGAGTCAAGATGGATGAGTCCATGAATGTTTAAGTGACAGTGTGACGTTTCACTGTCTATTTTCCATTAGAAGCTAATGCAGGAGATAGTTGTTGAGACTATTTTCATGTTCAGCCTGCATGAAAAACACAGAGTAACCGATTATAATCAGAAATGCATTTTTAAAAATGGGTTTTCAGTTTTCCACACCTTTAAAATAATGGACACGGTACACGAGGTGGGCAGCACAAGTGTTCCATAGTTGGTGTTAAAACAGTGTTAAGCTGCCAAAAATGCAAACTTAGCTGTCATGATTATGACATATTTCAAGCTAACACTTTCTCCAGTTGTCATTTTTATCAGGCATTCAGCAGGCCTCACACCCATCACCGTGGATCAAATAAACAGAAGCAGACACCGCTGGCATTCCTAAAACTGATAAACAATGCAGCGGAGACTCAAAACTCAACTCTGTTTCCTTTTTGCTTTTGGAAAATCATAAACAAAAAATCCTCCCATCCTAGACAGCATGGTTGAGTTTGTGTGACTTCTGGTTTCAGTGTGAGTGCGACGAACCAACTGAGTAGCCTCCAAGTTAAAGATAAATATGTTAATTTGATGTTGTTTTAAATTGAGGGGTTTTGTTATATTCATGTATTTAAATTTGTAATTACCTCTTAGCTTTTGTTGTTGGGATGTTGCTTTGGGGCCCACTTCCAAACCACCTTATCCATGCGAGGCAGCAGTCACACTGGTTATGTTTTCCTGTCATTACATAGGAATAAATGTAACCCAAGGTCCACATTATTTGTCTTTTGGACGCAAATGTACAACATCTCTGCTCCCAGCTGGGTTTAAATGGTGGATGAAATAGCTTTTTAACAGATAAACTTCTGGATTTTCTTGGTAACTTGGCAATTAGGTTAGACAAGTATTTTATGGAGTTAATATTTAATAGCTCTCTCTGCTTGAACTGCACCTCACAGGCCAACGGAGTCCCACAGCTGGTTTTGTACTGTATGTAAAAGCTTGTTCCATATTTTTTTCTTAAGGCTTTGTGCCTCAGTGCACTCACTTACACAAGAATAATAAAAGTACAGTACAAACCGTTTAAATGTTCACAAGCTTAGGGATTTTTAATAAGAGCTTAGTTTTTATCCCGTTTTTACTACGCGTTGTGAAGCATTTCACTTCACTTCACGGGGACCTGACACCAAACAGAAAAGTGAAGAATAACTGAGTTTTGAACAATATTTTTTTTGTTGCAAGCTGAACTTGCATTGCTTTGCTCCTAGAACATCATTAGGGGTCTTTGAGTGGTCCCAGGGAAGGTTACAAGGGGTCCAGGAAGGGGCCAGCTGCTCTGTTAGAAAGATACAAACATGCCTTAAAGCAGAGGTGTCCAACCTTTTTTTGGCCCGTGAGCTACTTTTACACAGTGAAAGTACAGAAGAACTACCGCCATATGATTTAGTCACATTGATACTTTCTATTTATGAAAATGCTTACTGTTGAAGAATGCTATAGTTAGTTATAGTTAGTTTATATTAACATGCATTGTATTCACAAGTTGATTTCTATGTATTTCAGTATATCAATATTATAAGAAAAAACATACAAGGAAAATAGTGACATTCTGAAAATCAGATCAGATCTGAAAATTTTTGCACCACTATGTCTGTATTTGAGCATGACGTCTGGATGCGCTCGCGCTGCGCCCGCTGCAGCGCTCGTCACTGGCGCAGCCGGGCAGCGCAGCACACACTCCGCTTTTTTGCGGCCAATAGATCAATTTGATCTGCTAGTTAAAAAGTTTCTGGTGAGGTGAAAAAGAAGGAAGCAGGCAGGAGTTTTTCTGGAGGACTGGGAGATGCAGGAAGATCAGAGACAGACAGGACAGGAAGATATGAAAAAAAAAACAAGAAAACAAAACAAAGTTCTTAAAAATAAAATGTTGGTAGATTTATCCCACAACACGTTTGTACCCGTATAAAGCAATAATTTATCAGCATGTAGTATTTATATAGTTGATACAATTCAGATCATCTTCAAAACTCCGTCCCATGTCCAGGGACGTATCGGGCCGAGGCAAAGTAGACCCCTGCCAGGTATTTTAAGTTGAAGTGCTATCTGTTTTTATATTAGACTTTTTATATTTGCAGTAAAGTCCAAAAGTGAAGAATTTGTTATTTATTACTTGATTGTTCAAGCTACCTCACAGACGTGATTGGTTGTTAAAAATTAAAATAAAAAGGTAATTAAATAAAAAATAAGGAACATCTCCACAATCTTCTGTTTGATTTCAAAACATCTTCATAAAAAAGGAAAGAAATCTAGACGCTTTAAAAAATAAAAATTGTTCAGTGTGTTTCAGATAAGAAAAAGCCACATTATGAGTTATTAGGTGTAAAGGTTTTGCCTTTAAACATTTTTAGCACAGCTGTGTGTAACTCAGGAACATAACCAGGGCTTTGCACTTTGAGATACAGTAATTTTGCCATTTCACATTTGTCTCAGACAAGAGCATCATCAAACATCAGCCTTTAACCATTTTTACACCTCTCTATGACATTTAACCTTTTAGCTAAAATTATATTATCTCTGTCTTGCAGATCAATCAACTTTGAAAATAATATAATAGATAAGTGTCACGAATAATCTTTCTCTGTCTTTGCCTTCATCGATGTTCCAGTCTTGTCCCTTTTCATCCCTAACATGGAAACTTCTCTAAACAACAGTATTCATGTATGGAGCATCGGATGGCATGCTGTGAAATAGTCTTAAGGGGCGAACATGGTAAAAAAGGGAAAGTGGAAAGAGGCATGTGTAAACCCAGGAGATGAGCTAGATTGGAATTCTGAACTTCCATTAAATCAGGACAGCTTTGGGAAATAAGGAACGTTGTTGGCTTTACCTCATTCCATAGTTATTTTCCCTGCCAGCCATGTTATCCTGGTCCTTTGACTGTGTGTGTGTGTGTGCGTGGGGGGGGGGGGGGGGGGGGTCATCACTGTGTGTAGCATAAGAGCAGGAACATGCTGAAATGGAGGGTTGTTAATTAAACATGAGTGTTCTTTCTGCTTTGCTCTGCCACTGTGGCAGGATGCTACTGTGTGTGTGTGTGTGTGTGTGTGTGTGTGTGTGTGTGTGTGTGTGTGTGTGTGTGTGTGTGTGTGTGTGTGTGTGTGTGTGCATGAGAGAGAGAGAGAGAGAGAGAGAGAGAGAGAGAGAGAGAGAGAGAGAGAGAGAGAGAGAGAGAGAGAGAGAGAGAGAGAGTCCCAGCTCAGGATGTCCCGTATCGGTTGAGGCCATTTGCCCAGGTTCTCTGCTGAGCTACTTTAATATTTTACATCTGCTCCCCTCACCTGCTGTCACTTTCAGAAGACACACTGCTGTGTCATTCACTCGTTGAGTCTTTACACACTACCACCTCTAATTCTCTCTGTTGTCCAACCATTCATCGTCTCATATCTTTCTTTCTTTTCCTGCCACGTCTACATCTAGTCACCTTTTCCCTCCTCTCTCCCCGTACACCACCAGCCTACCCTTCTCTCTTGTCTTTTCACTTTTTTCCAGTCCCCTGGTGTTGTTCCACCCTTGCATCTATGCTTGTTGTTCTCTGCTTGCTTGGGGTGCAACAGGAACTGCCAACTATGTTGGAAGGCTTTAGGAAACCTCGTCAGCCTTGAAGTCCTGTGAAGCACCGACTATATGATGTTTTGTGTGTGTGGAGTTTGTTAGAGATACAAAAAGAGAAAAACAGACAGTGGGAGGATGGAAGTCGCCAGGCTGATATGGTTACTATAGCAACTAAACCAGACTACAGTCCTTAGTTCTGATGTGCTGGCTGCCACGGTTCTGTGGTTGCATTTACGCCACAGGTCTCGAGGCCCAGCTCCTCCGCTGAGCAGCTCAGCAAACCGAACCAACTCCCAGAGCGGTGGCATACGGGAGATAATTCCCTTTTATATGCGAAGCTACTGCAGCTATGGACAACAGATGTGTATCCACAGGAGCATGAATTAAATTCAGAAAGGTCTTCAATGACACAAATATTTTTTTCTTTGGCTGACAAATGATGAAATGCCGCGTTCACAGCCAACATCTGGCGGAACAAACACCGGCTGGTTACTGTGCAGTGAGACAGCTGGATTTCACTCTTTATCCGTGGTTCTTATTCAGGGTTTAAACACATGTTGCCCAACCTCTAAATAAACACCTGAATGTGCAGCACTGCTATTTTTTAGATTAAGACCGTTATGTGTATAGACATCTTAAATGTTATTGTGTACATCCAGGGTAATACAGCATAGCCACATTAAGCTGGAGGGCAAAATGACCCTCTGCAGCCACTATCCAGACCTGCAAGCTAACTAAGAGGAAATCTAGGCATGTAGATGTTACTATTTTAGATCATCTAACTTTGTGCTGATCATCAAAAAGTTACATCTCAAAGCTAACGGTGTTTAGCACAAAGGTGCCATAGCTAACGAGCTGTGGGGACAACAGTCCTCAGAACTGCTGCTAATATGGAGATTTCTACAAGTATTTGATAAGCAAGCCTTTACTTTACACAGCTGAAGCAACAAAGGTGTAATGGGATCTCTTCTGCGCTGTGTGGGTCAATGCTGAAGGTTCGCCGTGACACAGTTCGTCTTTGGAGGTGAACAGATGCTCCATTTATTTTGACGAGCAACGTAAACAGAAACATGTAACGAATGACATTAGAGGCTGTGCAGATCTCAGGAGGGAAGAACAGTTTGTAACTAACTTTTACACATTCTACCAGCTCAGTTAAACACAAAACTAATGATTTTAACGGCAGCCCGCTCCAATCACAGAACACATTTTGTGTGAATATGTAAAAAGAAACTCATTTAACCTGGTTACAAAGGCATACCAATCATTAGATGGCTATAACTTGTTGTGTGTGGACCTGTGGGTAGGGTTGTCACGGTAAGAAAATTTAACCTCACGGTTATTGTGACCGAAATTATCACGGTTTTCGGTATTATCGCGGTATTTTTTAAACGGTGTTGCATATGTTCAGAAAGCATTGATAGTCCTGTTCTACACAAACTGAAATAGGTTTGAAAAGGTTTAACAATGTTTATTAAACCTAAAATAACACAAAGCCTTAGCAAAAGTGCAACTTTTCACAAGTAAAGGAACAAATAGCTTCTTTTTCTGGAACATGTTACAGTAGTCAGTGCAGGTTTAAATTATACAAATCCAAACATTCAAAACATAAACAATATGTAAACAAATCAAAGAAACACCACTTGTTTTCTCATTTACTTGTTTTCTTCATTATCAAAATGAAAATCTAAAACTCCAGTCCACACTTGACTTGAGCACTGTACAAGTCAACCTTAAAAAATATGTATTTAAAATAAATTGCCACTTTAAACAAATTACTAAAATAACTACTACACTATGTAATCAAATCCAAACGTTCAAGTATAAATGGCATTGAATAAGTAAACAAATCAATGACAAGGAACTAATTGTATATTTCTCTTCATCATCAACAAATAAGATGCTTCATCCAGCAACAGGGTGTCCGTGACACGGTTTAAATGCTGGCAGAGGGCGCTGCGGCTGCAGTCTATAGTGACTCGTTGCATTCTCCCTCAGCCAAAAGTCCTCACGTCATGCATTTAAGCTAAAATGCTAATGTTAACTTACCTTGCACTGGCTGTAGAGACGTGGGTGATGGTCACGCAGATGTGCCATTAGATTCGAAGTGTTGCTGCCTTTTGCAGACACTTGTTTCCTGCACGTTCTGCAAACGGGATAGCAGTCTTCTATTAACTGTCCCTCAGCATTTTTCAGAAATCCAAAATATGCCCATACTTCCGATTTAGTCTTCTTTGAGGGCTGATGGATGTCCTGGGCGCTGCCGTCTCCTCCTTCGGCCATTATATCAGCTTCAAAGTTTTGGTTGCTAACTAAAAAGTGCGTGTGCGCGGGAGCTTCAGCAGAAGCGACGGTGGCTGGTAAGGGTCACCGCGCCTAAACCGCGGCCACGGTAAACCCACCGAGATAATTTCGTTTTTTAAAAACTGGACGGTTATTTTTATTGTCAACTTTTTTACCGGGGTTTACCGCTATACCGGTTACCGTGACAACCCTACCTGTGGGGCAGATATTTCACTTTATTTTCTGTCATGAGACTTTGGCTCTGACAAACTCTCTTCATGGCTGTTAACCATTGTCTTCAGCTTATTTTATCAGCTGGAAACCTGTAAAAGTTGACGTTACTCTTTCTTTCATCTACTTGTGCAGCCTACAGCGCTGCATGCGTTAACCATGCTAGATTTTAATTTTTACCGATTTAGCTCAATTTATTGACAGCTGACAGATAATAACAATGGTGGTCAATGGGGATGTGTCATCTTCTTGCCCCCCAGCCAGAAGCTGGGGGCAGGATCTTCAGCATGTGAATTCATGTGTCAGGGGGTCTATTTGACTGAGATTTATTTTTAAGTACATCTCTGTCTGCAGTGAAACCATTGGCTGTGTTTCCTCTATAAGAGTCCCAGGAAATTTCTGGGAGGGAGAAAGATGACGGAAAATACGATTGCTTGATCCTATCAGCCGTTGTCTTCATGGGACAGCGGGTTGTCCAGTTCTCAGAAGGTTGCAGGTTCAATCCTGGCTCTGACAAGTGAATGCTGCTGAAGTGTGAAGACAATCACCCCTCTTGCCTGTTTGTGGTGGTCAGAAGGCCCGGTGGCGTCTGTGTTCGGCAGGCCTCGCCTCTGTCAGTGCGCCCCAGGGCAGCTGTGGCTACATCTTAGCTCATCCCAACCAGCGTGTGAGTGTGTGAATGAGTGGATGACTGATTATGTTGCGAAGCACCTTGGGGGGGGTTGTAGAATCCTAAAAGGTGGTATATACATACAGGACATTTACTATTTACCATTTAAACAAAATCGACCCTTTCAAGACTTTGCTAAGATGTCAGAGATATTTTTTGGCAGTGAGCAATGTCACTGATCAGCGCCAAACAACATTCATGGACGTTAATAACATTCTGTCAAATACGTCGTAATTTTATCCATTTGAAGAATGAGAAGATCGGCTGTGTGTTGTAAAAAGTGACGTTCAATGACTAGAAGAGATGGCGGCGCTCTAGGAGACCACAAAGCACTGCAAATGATGGCATTGTGGGGGGATTTGTGTTGCAGGTTTAGAAACATTTCAAAAACATTACATTTCCCAGTGAGGTACAACCAATCAGCATAAGTTACACACAAGTCCTGCCCAGCAACGGGTTTTTTACTTGATTGGTTCCTGAAATGGCTCAGAAAATGGTCCTTTTGGGATGACCCATGCTCTTGCCGAGGTCTGATAAAATTACCCGGAAATTCTAAAAGTGGAAACAGGCCAATAATCTGCCAAGGTGGGGCAGCATATGTCAAAGAACATTGTTTTTGTAATACTGAAAATAAAATGGAATTGCTGAAACAAAATGTATGTGTACTTTCTGTCAGCTGTTGAACTGGCGGTCATTGATCGAAGGAAACTGTTGCTGTATTTGCTGTTGCCTCTAGCTGCAGGGAAACACAGAACCAACCTGTTACTGATCGCTGATCATGGCAGCATCACGTTGCTCATTTAATGCATCAGAAAATGCCAGAAAGCTTTAGAAATGTGGTCCAGAAAGATCTCCGCACATTTGGTTTTCTCCCTTTCTAACATGATCGTAGCAAATGTCCAGTCTGGTTCTTTTCTGAGAAAGATAATTAGGCTACATTTAGAGTAAAGTGTGAACAAGGATTTGGTTTCAGCTCCAGAACAGGCACTATGAAAACGTCTTCTAAATGTGTGAAATGGATACGGCAGCAAACAACTTTAGGCTTAAGCAGCAAAAAGCAATCTTTACTTTATTGTGTTTCTGCAGAAAAATAAGAGGAAAAACAATGATGAGGCTTTAGGTTATAAAATAAAAGCACTGCAGCTTTGCTTCTCATCATGTTGCTTCGTCGTGGAGTTATTTTAATCTCAGAGTTATTAAAATATTTGCTGCAGTTTGGACTTTGAGACAACCTGACTCCCATCAACTTGGATGTTCCCTTCTTTTTTTGCTCAGCATGCAGTCACTTCTGTACACCTAAAATTTGTGAACTCATTCAAATTAAACAGACATACCTCATCTCCCAAACTTGACCAAGATGCTTAAAATTCAAGTTAAGATGAAATGATGGAGGTTACTGGTAAAAAAATAAATAAAACCTAGAGAGGGGACTCTTTAGAAAATATAGTGTAGCTCTGACCAAACTGATGAACCAGTGGCGTGTGGGTGGTTGCTGTTGGCTTAAAACATCTTAAGGACTCTATTACACGAACCTTTACACTGCCCTACATTTTGTATAGCACAGTTATTTAACTTTTACGTTTACTATCAATAATAGCTGCTGCTATGTATATTCTGCTGCAAGCCATATAAATCAATGTAAACATTATGAAACCTTTAAAGAAGTTGTCACTCCCCCCTCAGAGTCTTACTCCACCCACGTATCAATTTTAAAAACTGCAACATTAGTAGGCGTTGCCTGGAGGACCGAGGGCGGAGCCGCTGCAGTGACGAAGACGACAGCTAACTAGACGATGCTAGCTCCCTTCACTCTGAGCAGTCATTAGAAGTGGAGGACGTTTCTCCCCCTCCTTACACAGACACTCGAGAAGAAAGGGACCAAGTCTATTTGGAGGAGACAAGCGGACCTGAGCCTTATTGTTGTTTTGAGCTTGTGAGTTGCCTGAAACTACAGGAACCGACCCAACAGAACCATCTCTGAATGTAAGTAGCCGTTAGCCATAGCATCAGATTAGCTGCAGGGTTTGTCTCCACGGCCCTAGAGCTAGTATTCAGCATGTTTTAGAGGTTTATCTGCTTCAACACTCCTGGCTTTAATCAGCAACAAATAGCTGAGCTGCTTAACAGCTAATCCAACCTGTTAAAGCAGGAAAACCACTGAAACGTGCTGGATAGCAGGTCTCCAGGAGCCTTGGGCTCAAGCTACAGTCTGCTGCATAAAGTTATGAAAATATCCCATGAGAAAATTATTCTGTAATGTGTTCAGCCCACTAAAACTGCCCAGATTTCTTTATTTATTTACTAATAACAGCTGCTCTCTTGGTTCCAGGTCCTCTGGTGTCTGCAGGTGGTCTCTGCTGGTGTCGTCAGGATCAGGAGCTTCCAGAAGAATGTGCCTTTCAATGACTCTTTCCCCCTTATTTGTTATATTAATTACATAAATCTCAATTGATATATTTCCTATTTTTGTTCATGTCCATAAATACTTAAACATGCTTGAAATTAAAACAAGCTTTTAACAGTGAGGTGCTAGTTTAATTCATCACAATAGAGCTTGTTAAACATGCGACAATGTAATAATTCAATTAATGTAATTTATAAATATCCATTAAAATATCAAAACTGGAATCAAAATGAGACATTTGGCAGCACAAAAACTTGTCAAACACAATATTTATTATAATAATTGTAGGCAGACAGGAGACAGAGCTGATGGAGGTTCTCAGTCATCGAAGGTTTGCTGAAGGCTTTCCAGGAACAGGAGATGTGGTGTTGTCTCTTCTCTCTCTATTCTGCCAGATGAGCTGATAGGTTACAGGTGTGTGAGGACATCCTCATGCTGTCATAACCAGATGACAGGTGTGTGAGGACATCCTCATGCTGTCACAACCAGATGACAGGAGTTATCAGGTGATCAGCCAGGCTAATGATGAGATGCAGAAAGAAAACAAATTCAGGACAGTGTACTATATGTGGTGTTGCTCACCTTATGTGCTCTTATACAGTTATTAACGTGTGCCTGCCTCATGGTGTAGAGTCCATATTTTGCTGAGTGTCCTGCAATAATGCAGGTTATTAGTTAACTTACTTTTGATAGCAAAAACAAAATATTTAATGTAAAAGTTATTTACCAGGTCAATCAGCTCACACGTCAACACCAAGTGTCACAGGGCCAGAATCAGTAGCCTCCTTCATGATGTAATCACATACTTATTTAATTGTTAATATCTTAAAAATTCTGAAATGTTTTAATTTTTTTACCTTGAACAGTTCACTGAGCTTGCACTGTCACTGAGGTGGAAGCTGGAATCAACAGCAGACACCTCACATCGTCAGGGGGTGTGGACGCTGCTCTGACTTTCTGGAAGATGAATTTCCATCATGATCCTTGTGTCACAAGACACACTGAGGCTGTGAGCTCTTCTGGCTGGCTATGTACAAAAACAAAGAAGCAGCACATTTATAAATGTTTAAAAGAGCATAAAATCACGTGTAACAATAATCTGTAAAACAAATTAGAACTAGAAGGTAATAATAAAATGTTTACATAGAAGATTATTAAAAATAATTCACCTTTGCTATGCCGGTAAAGCTTCACATCAGCCTGGACAAGTACATTCTTGCAGCTAAATCAGTCTGACAGCCAGTGTCTTGGGTAGATTTAGCCTGAAAAAAAAAATAGAAGCACATTGTTGTTGGGAGTTTATAAAGTCAGATAAAATACAAAAGAAACTGTCTTATAAAGGCGCTTTATAACATTTCTAGTGTGTGATCGTTGTTATAACGTAAAAGTCAGTCACATATGATGTGGAGAGCCTGAAATGCGACCTCCTGAACAGAATTCCTCACAGAACCGGGTCACAAGCTGGATTTCATGCTGTAATGCTGTCTGTCAACTGGTGCTGTGTTAGTTAGAGTCACTGTTGCAGAATTACCGACTGACTAGCTAAAGGAATTGAACCACGTCTCTCGGACTTTGCATTTAGGTAGGGAATTGTCTTTAGAAGATGTTAAAACGTTTATTTAGCTGACTCACCTCAGACTGGAGCCCGCCGTGGTGGGGGAGCAGAGTCGGTGGGCTGCATCTAAATCGGAAGCTAACAAATCAAGCTAACGTTATCTGCTCTGTTTACAACTCGCTCGCAGCGAGCGACGACATAACGCTCTTGCGCATGCGCAGCTGTCTTGGCAAGTTCTCGTTATGAAGGACGGGTACCGAAACGAGGCACCGTTTGAAACGACGTGAATCGGTGCTCGGTCGGTACTATGTAATTCGGTCGGTACCTTAAAAAGTACTGAATTTTGCTGTGCTGTTTTTATTTGGTGATTCAAGTCATTAGTTGTGAAATCTTCTCTCTGGGCAGCATTTTGATTTAAAATCAGAAACAGAACAAGTTTAGTGGATATTTCAGCATAATTAATGGATTAGTTTCATTTGAAACTGTCAGTCAAAACAGATTTCCAGCAGCTTGGTCTTCATGGTCTTGACCTACGGAGCTGCTGCCCAGCCACAACTGCCTAAGCTGCTTTACCCCTGCAATGGCGACTCTGGCTCCGAGGAGTCTGCAGAAGCTTACGACCAGTGGTGTTCACGAGGGAGAAGAAAAAACAGTTTGCCCTTTTTTCTCTGGGTGCAAATTGCCCTTTTCAACCGGCAATCAAAAGTTTTCAGGCCTCGCCCTGGCCCTCTCACAGAGCATGACCTTCTCCGGCTGAGTCGAGCTGAAGCTCAGGCATTTATTCCTTTTCACCAGCGTTTCTGAAAACTGCTTGAGCGAGGCACAGCTGACAGTGTGTTAGTTTGGAAATAATCCAAGGCGTCATACGTGTGGCCGTTTGTGTGAAGTCTTTCGACTTCACAAAAGGCCGATGTCAACTTGAGTACCTTCAGCTCATGGAAGCTGAGAGGAGGAAATAAATGTTATCTGAAAAAAATCCAACTTGCAGATTTTTGACTTTTAACTAAATTTTGAATGTGTCACCATAGTTTAAACGTCTCTCCTACATCTGGAGCTGGTGATAACAAGCTAAAGATGCTTGAACATCTGTAAGTGTACTGTAGCAAAAATCTGAGACCTGGGAAAACTTGCAAGGAAAGTTTCAGCTCAGCAAAACCCAGGTCTGCATCACACATTGGCCCAATCCCAATTCTCACACTTTTTGACCAATCAGTGTCCCTTGAAGGCCACTCAAAAAAATTGGTCCGAAACTGTTTTTATCATTTAAGAAATATCTCCAAACTGTGAAGGTTGGTGTCAAAACATGAATGTGAAAGGGTCATCCATGGCTTTATCTCCTCCCGTCTAGATTACTGTAACACACTTTTCACATGCTTTAACAAAAAAGCACTTGGCCGCCTTCAGTTGGTCCAGAACTCTGCAGCAAGGCTCCTAACTGGAGCAAACAGAAGAGCACACATCACTCCTATTCTAATGTCTCTCCACTGGTTACCCGTTAACTTTAGAGTTTATTTCAGAATCCTGATTATAACTTTCAATGCTCTACATGGTAAAGCTCCTCCCTATATTACTGAACTGTTAAAGCCTTATGCTCCAACCCGAGCCCTCAGGTCCACACACCAGAACCTTCTAGAAGTTCCAGAGACCAGATACAAAAGTCGAGGTGATCACTCCTTCCAGACTGTTGCACCCCGACTCTGGAATGATCTTCCTTTATCCTTGTGTAGCATTGACAGTCTGGACACTTTTAAAAAACAGCTAAAGACCCTTTTATTTAAAGCTGCTTTTACCAAAATCTTTTATTTTCTTATTTATAACTGAAATTTTTAATCTTTCATCTGTTTATGAAAATTTATAATTTTATGACTTAATTTTTTCTGATGTTAATCTGTTTCTGTTTTGAGATCATTATGATTTTATGACTTTGTTTTATTTTGTTTTGATCTATGTGAAGCACTTTGTGATTCTATATCTGTGATAAGTGCTATATAAATAACATTTACTTACTTACTTACTTACTTACTTACTTACTTACTTACTTACTGCGCCCCACGACCTTCTGAGGAAGTGCGCAATAAGGTTCGAGTGCGTAGTACACAAGTGTGTCAAATTGGGAAAGGGACCACAACACATTTTGGGATGTCGGTCGCTGTTTGTGCTACTCCTAAAAAAAATCTTTATTAACAACTTTCAAACAAACAGTTATTTGACTAAATGGACATTCATTGCTGTCCACATTAAACCTTAGTCTAAACCATTCAGACGATAAATAAATATCATTAACCGCCCTAAAAAAGTCATTGATGGATTGTGGGTAATACCCTTCACGGACATTCGCATTGCTGCGAAGTTGGGCAAAGTGTGGATCGAGGGCACAAAAGGGACACCGTCAAATATTGGGATTGGCCCATTATTACCCCCAAAAGTTGCTTCTCGTCCAAATCTAAATTACAGAAGGAACAAACAGGAGAAAAGAGCAGACCCTGATTCTCGACACAGTGACTCTGGAAAAAAAAATGTTCAGGTTCATAAAAATTTAACCAAACCCTGCAGAATTTCCTGTTTAATTTATGAAGAAATTGGCTTGTCTGAGTTTGCTGCTTTTATTAAACTAATATTCTTGCTTTTATTTGTTTAGTGGTAGACATCGTGTTACAGAGTAACAGCATCCTGTTATGTGTCTGTTTGCGTGTCTCCTGGTTCTGTTTGCTGTCCGTGTAGGCAACAAGTCTCAGTTGTTTGCTTGTTGGAAACGGCTGCTGAAGATGTCAATCTCTGCTGAGCGGAGCTGCTGCAGCTGTTTAGCACACACCATGTTGATGTGGCCTGTTAACTGCTTTGTGCTGTGCTCTGAACAGCAGGATGTCACCATCATCCAACAGGTTTCCCAGTCTCGCAAGCAGGGCGGGAGTTACTTACGCTGGGCCTACTGTCTTTACACCTGTGTGTGTGTGTGTGTGTGTGTGTGTGTGTGTGTGTGTTTTGCTCAAATTCCAGCTGCATCACACTCCCCTGACCTCTTCTTTTCCCATCATCCTTCATGCATTTTGCTCCTGACTTTCTTCCAGTCACATCCTTCTAGCCATCATCCCATTTCCTTTTCTCTTGTTGTCGCTCCGGCTCTCCTCCCTCCTCTCACGCCCCAGTTGGGGAGCACAATGCGATGGTGACGGCAGCGTTGCTGTGTCGTATGTTTGTCTCTGTGATGTCACACTACAGCAGCTCTGTAGTTGCTTTCTCTCTTTTTCTTCTTCTTAATCCCCGTGCTCATGGACCACACTGCTATTTTAAGATTCTATGAACCTTTTCAAAGAGCTTCAAGGGGAAAGCTTGTCCATTCGCTGTGTGCCTGAGTGTGTCTGATATGAAAGCCCCAGCACGCAGCTAAGAGACAACTTTTCTTTCTTCGCATATGTGTTTATTTCGCTGTCATAAAACAATTTCTACATCATATATGTCAAAATCACAAATTTTAAGCTAATAATACAGAAACTCTGAAACGTAAATCTATTATGTGACTTACTTACAGCTAAAACATTTTTTCTTGCACATTTTCCTCCCTAGTCATAATTGCAGGGAGCTCAAAGTAAAAGTCACATTTGATATTTAGGATCACAGCTGATGTAATGTTAATAAAACCGCTCGGATCTCCAGACAATAAACCTGGCAGTAAATCTGGCTCCCACAATATTGTGTGCTCATTATTGCCACAGCCAAGTAAGATCTGGAGTCCTGAACTCTTTGATCCCTTGTCTTTCATCATGTGTCTGACGCTGCGCAGAGGAGCAGCTGTCTCTGCTCGGTAACATTTAGTCTGCCGTTTCAGAGTCGTTTGACCCCTTTTTTAAACTATAAAAACATGAAAAGAGCCCGGCTGTGCAACTCTACCTGAACTCCGTAGGGAGGGTGGGGTGTGAAAAGGGAGAAATTGCTGAAAAACACTGAGAGACGGCGAAAGTCCTGACAGGAGTACAGCTCCATGACCTCTCTGTGAAAACTCTCCACTCCAGCGTAGTAAAGGCACGCTGTTAAAAATGTTATCAGCTCGGTGAACTGTAGACATCCAACTGAGGCATTAGCACACACAAAGCTTTTAATTATTGCTAACTGATGTGGAGATAATTTAAAGGTTCCACGTAAAATCCTTTTAGCGTGTTATTCTTAGTCTCACATGTAAAAAAATATGTGTAACTATAGTTTCAGCTTTAAAAAAACACATACTCATTTTCTTAGTTTCAGCTTCGCTCTTCTCATGCCGCTACTGTTTTCTGAAATGACTTCGGGCTGCGTCTTTCATACGGTTGCTGGGAGCATGGCTGAGGGCAGTGAAGTCACAGCCTGACATAAATCTTCACGTTTTATTTCATGCTTGCCACCTATCTCACTCTTAGAAAGACTGGGACCACTAAAGTACTTCACACATATTTAAATACTTTTCGCTATGATAGTGCTGCACTTAATTACATGCCATTAGCAGATCACACAGCATGGCATGTGTAAAATAACCAAAGCACAGTGTCCCCACTTAAATACATGGGAGGGTAACTGGTGTTTAATTGTCTTGCTCTAAAACAGTGATTCTCAACTGGTCTGGGTTTGAGATCCACCATCACCTTTTAAAGCCGTGACCCACATATTCAACTTCTCAAATGTATTTAATGAAAAGATGGTTCCATTTAAAAGTTGAAAATGGAACAATGTAAAAAAAAAAAAAAATCTACATTAAAAAAATATATACCTCCACATAAAGAAGTGTGCAGAATAAATGCAAAGTATTTATTTTAGAAGCAATAGTTCAATAAAAAAAATAATCAAATATTTATTTTGACGGGCATGACACTGGGTTTATGTTTACATCTACTGGCCTATAGAGGGCGCTATTGCGGGTTGCCAAATGGGGTAAACAGATCCATTTGACACAGCAAGGCTGGCACCTTTGAAAAAGGTGGACTGTGCAAGTCAAACAG